GCAGGAGGCAGCTGATCGATGTTTCTCTCTCATTGATGTTTCTAACTCTCTATCCCTCTCCCTTCCTCTCTGTAAAAAATCAATAAAACATATTTTAAAAAAATATTAATTCCAGAACTGACATCTGGTGATACACCCCCAAGTGTCACTTTCCATTTGTCTCACTTTTCCTCATTGGCAGGAAAAGAGGAAAGGGGACGGGGATTGCTGGCCGTACACATGGGTGCTGAGATGCTCAGCTATTTACTGGTATCTCTGTTTCCCTCACCATTGCCTCCTTCGGAAACCCCGCTGCACCACTTGGGTGTGAGGCTGTGAGATGTACCTCAAAGCTATTACAAGGTTCACAGAAATGATGCCAACAGGATCAAGGCTCAAGAACAAGATTTTGCACATAGCCCACACAGGAGAACCACCTAGTGTCTGTGTGGCCGCTAACGGCCCCTGCGTCTGAGCCTGTCCCACCAGAATCTCCTGTGTGTGCGCTCCCTGCACGTGCCATCGCCAAGTCCCTCCTGCTCCTCCTTCCTTTTGAATAAAGCTCCTCTGAAAAGAAAAGTAGATTCTAAAAATAAAACCTTGTCCATTCTTTCAATAATCATTTTCACCAAAGGCAGGTAAGGGGAACCATAGAGCAGCTGTGTGGCCCTGAAGGCTCTGCCAACCTAGGCTGTGTGTATATAGACACACACAGATCTTATCTATATACTAGAGGCCCGAAGCACAAAATTCGTGCAAGAGTAGGCCTTCCTTCCCCGGCTGCCGGCACCAGCTTCCCTCTGGCACCCGGGACCCGGGCTTCCCTCGCAGCCCCAGCTTCTTCCAGAAACTCGTTTAGAAGGATGTCCGGTCTAATTAGCATTTTACGTTTTTATTATTATAGAAGATACATAAGGTCATCCGATCGCTATGACGTGCACTGACCACCAGGGGAGCAGACACTCAATGCACAGGATCGGGCGTCTTTGCTGTCTGGATCGAGCCTGCAGGGATCAGGCCAAAACCGGCTCTCCGACATCCCCCCAAGGGACCCAGATTGCAAGAGGGCACAAACCAGGCCGAGGGACCCCACTGGTGCACGAATCTGTGCACCAGGCCTCTAGTTTATATATATAAAAGCCTAAGCGATCGTTCGACTGGTAGCTATGACACGCACTGACCTTATATGCATACTAGAGGCCCAGTACACGGATTCTTGCACCGGTGGGGTCACTTGGCCTGGCTTGCAGGATCGGGCTGAAACTGGCTCTCCAACATCCCCCGAGGGGTCCCGGATTGCGAGAGGGTGCAGGCCAGGCTGAGGGACCCCACCGAGGCGCAATCTGGGCTGGGGAGGGACGCTGGAGGGCTCGAGGGTGTGTCCGGCCTGTCTCGCTCAGTCCTGATTGGCCCCAGCAGCAAGCTCACCTACCAGTTGGAGCATCTGCCCCCTGGTGGTCAGTGCACATCACAGCAAGTGGTTGAATGGCCTTAGCATATCATTAGCATATTATGCTTTGAGTGGTTGAATGGACGACCGGACACTTAGCATATTAGGCTTTTATTATATAGGATTCTCTAATATATATGTATATACAAGTATACAAGCACACAGATGTATATATCAATCAGCACCCTAACTGAAAAGACAGTTAAACCATAACTGAAAGAAATGATTACTAAGAACCACGCTGGGTCTGTCAACTAAAACGTTATCATGGCAACGAAGAAACAGCACCACAGAAGCCAGGTAACCGGTCAGCTTTTCACAACTACAGTCACAGTCCCCCAACATCTTCATTTTCCTCCCCTAGTGACCTGTGTTGTACAGATTTTGTCCGTCTTGATCACCAGCAATCTAACAGCTCCCAGAAATTCCGTTTCACAGGAAGGTCACTAGTATCAAGAACTATTTAGCAGCACAGTTGTCCAGCCCTTACCCATGGGAGATATGGTCCAAGACCCCAAGAACCCTGCATATACTACATCCTTTCTTACACATACATACCTATGATAAAGTTTAACTTATAAATTAAGCACAGTACAGTGTGACGACAATAACTAGTGAAAAATAGAATAATTATCCCTGGCCGGTTGCTCAGTGGTTAGAGCATTGGCCAAGCACAGAAAGGTCGCTGGTTTGATTCCCCATTGAGGGCATGAACCTGCAACCCAGGTACATTCTCCGGCCCAGGTAGGGGCACGTTCCAGAGGCGACCAACCCACGGGTCTCTTACATGGCTGTTTTTCTCCTTCTCTCTCTTCCTCTCTTCCTCCCTTCTACTCTCTTTAAAAATCAATGGAAAACATAATTTCTGGTGAGGATTACAAAAAAAACCACAACAACACAGAACAATGATAACCATATACCACAGTCCAAGTCCTGTGACTGTGCTTCCTCTCTCATCCGATTGCACTGTCCTCACCCTCCTTGCGATGATGTGAGAGGTGCAGCGCCGGTGAGGACATGAAGGGAGGTGGGTGACACAGGCTGCTAGGTCCCTGACAACAGTCACACCTCACAGCTTCTCTGTGGCACATGCCAACTGCCAGCGTCACTACCCGTGCAGTTGGGGCCATCACTAAGTAACATAAGGGTGACTGGACCACAAAGCACTGCAGTGCCCACAGCGGAGCCGGTAACCAGGGTGGCGGCTACCACGTGCCTAACGGCGGAGCTGGTGCTGCTGGACAAAGCGTGGTCATGTCCCAGGGGGCAGGGGGGGAGGGGGGGCTCCTCAGAGTGGGCACAGCCGAAGCCTTCCAAAGCAAGACCACCGATGCGGGAGGCCTCTGTCCTCAAACAGCACCTAGGACCCTCTGCGGGGGCCCATCGTTGGCCGGTGGGCAGGGTGCATATGCTCTAAAACCGGAGGGCCTGGTGCAGGTGCCCTCTCCGCGGCAAAGGGTCCCAACCTGCGCCGCACCTGGTACCATCTGTGGCCGGTTCAGCCACCAGACTCACCTGCTGCTCAAGGTTCTTTCTGTCTCAGGAATAATACTGGATTGGCAAGTAGGAGAAAGAGATTTTTTTTAAACCACCAATGAGGCAAGGGTCATTACCTAAACAACAAAAATGCATTTACTCCTACAAGCTCACAAGTTTTCAATCTAAGTTGGTTTCTTTTTCCCCAGAAAGAAAACAACAACATAGGCAGAGCCTCCAGCCTCACCTGGGTGTTCTCCCTCATCCCCGGACTGGAGACTAGACACTGACCAGAGGAGCAGCAGGAAGGCTGACGGACGGCAATGCTGTGACAGAGGGTGTCAGAGCTGAAGAGCTGGGCTTAGTGAAAAGACCAGGACAGGTGCTGTCACAGGAGGGTTCACCAGAAAGTCCACCCCGGGGAGACAACAGCTCTTCTTTCACATACATTGAGCAGTCACTTGCCCCAGAAAGGTCAACTTGTGAGAAAAAAAACCGCTAAAAAATGCAACCAATTCATTCATTCATTCACTCAATACCAACTGAGTGCTCAACTATCTATCTACGAGGCCTAAAGGGTCACTTCCTCAGGGCATTACCACATGCAGAAGCAGATGCCTTCACGTTCAGCTGAGTCTGGAACTAGGAAACCCACAACTGCACAGACTGGGTAGCACTTTATTTATTGCAAGCCCAAATACAGACGGGGCAGCTAAAAGAAAACAAGTGTGTAAACCAGGAGAAAAGACAAACAGTGCAGCAGAAAATATGCCACCTTGAGAAAAATGAAGAAAATAATAAGCAACAGATTATTAAATCCGCAGGCACGGAAAAAGCAAAAATAGGGAGGAGAAACAAAGTCACTGCAGATTAAATATGGAGAGTTTTAAGCCAATTATAAAAGATCAAAGAGAACAAGAGAGGGGAGGAGTAGCCTTACAAGTAACCGAGATAGGAGACCTTGGGAGAAATATGACCAGGGGGAAATCATTACAGCTTACAGTAAAAGTAATCTAGGGATGACTTTAGAGAGAAATTCCCTAGCGACCACTGCTAGCAGAACAGCCTGGGGACAGAAATCAAAGAGCTCTTTATTTCAAAAAGGCACACGGCTCCAGAGGGAAGGTGCTTCCTATGTAGAACAACAAATAGGCCTGGCAGAGGGAAATGTGTCAGTGAGGAATGACAGTGCTAGGAAATTCGGTGTGGCCTCCCTTACATGCTACCATGGGCAAAGGGAAGCAGCAACAGTTGTGGAAGAGTGTCCCTGAAACTCACCTGGCACTTTATCCTTTACCCCCAGTATACATCTGACTCTGACCCCTTTGAATAATGTCACCTTCCTCCAAAGTCTCAACCAACCCTAACTATCCTCAACTTTACGCAAGAGGAGCTAAACTAAAAAATGAGCCGCTGTCCTGGCCGGGTGGCTCAGTTGGTTGAAGTGCCATCCATACACTGAAAGGTTGCGGGTTCCATTCCCAGTCAGGGCACATACCTAGGTTGTGGGTTCAATCCCCAGGTGGGGCATGTATGAGAGGCAACCAATCGATGCTGCTCTCTCTCCCTTCCGCTCTCTTAAATCAATAAAACGTATCCTCAGGTGAGGATTACATTTTTTTAAAAAACTGCTAATGCAAATGTTGCTAACTTGTAATTTCACATCACCTTTCATTTATGGAATATTCTGCAGTTTACACATATTCTTTCAGATGCTACCCACAATCACTCCATGAGGCTGAGAGAGCTGTCACTACTGTCCTCCCCAGAGAGGAGCCGGCTGTGGCTTAGAAAGGTGCCCTGCACACAAAGGAATACAGTAGGAGCCGGAGTCAGGATTAAACCCAGGCCTCTGATTCCAGGACTGGTACCTTCTTGCAACGACATAAAAAACGCAGACACCCCGCTCTTCACCTTTACTTGAGGAGTTAATTCAGTGTATTTTGGATTTTTCGGTGTGATTATCAATATACTGGACATTATAAAATATCAGAGTCTGAAAGCCCAGAATACTGACTGCCAAGGGATCCCCATTACAACCAGCATACAGGATGAAGAATAATGCCCGACTTACCCAACTTGTCTTTCCTACATGAGATTGTACAGACCACTCTATAACGATAAGGAGACTAACGGCTTATGGTACAACTGAATTTACAGAATGAGAAAATGTGACATGATAATAACATAGCACTCACGGATACATCTCAGGTAAAGGAGAGAACCCATCCAGTGTGGCTCAGTGGTTGAACATCGACCAATAAATCAGGAGGTCACGGTTCGATTCCTGGTCAGGGCACATGGCCCGGGTTGCAGGCTTCATCCCCAGTAGGGGCATGCAGGAGGCAGCCAATCAATGATTCTCTCTCATCATTGCTGTTTCTCTCTCTCTCTTACTCTCTCTCTCTCCCTTCCTCTATGAAATCATTAGAAAATATTTTTTAAAAAAGAAAAGGAAATAGAGAGAAGAGAGCTCTGGACATCAACTATTTTACTTACCTCTATAACTGGATACCAACTGTTCACCTGACTTAGTAACCTGGCAACCTACTGGATCCCAAATTAGTACTATCATGACTAGGTGATAGAGCCCAATGCCGGGAATGAGAATGGGCTTTGAGTCACAGGCCTGGGTTTGAATCCCAATCCCACCACTTAATACATGTGTGATCTTGAGCATGTTATTAAACCCCAATTCTCCTACAAATGGAAAAATAGTTCCTATTTTACAGAGTTGCTGTAAAAGATTAAATAAGAATATAAATAACAAAACAGCTAAAACAACACCTGGCATCAGGCAGACACTCAGCGAATGAGAGTAAGTAGAATTGTAATTATTACTGCCACCGCTGACAGCATAACGCCAGAGTTGGGAATTGAACAAACTATACTCCAAAGGCGAAGAATAAAACATTGTCCACTCTCCGAGCTGGAATTAGGACAACGTTATTCACAATCACACATGAATCCTCAGTTTGAAAAGCATCACCTACTCCTGCCATTCTGACCTGGGCATCACAAACTAATGCGGAAATCGCATTTCATTGCTTCATCACCCTTATTAAGCTTTGTGTTTGCAGTTCTACCCAATTTTCCCCTGCTCCTAGAGGCAAGCTTTTGTTCCCTGTCAAACTCCTTTCCATTGCTGTAAATAACCTCTCTCCCTCTTTTATATTACCTTTCAAATATTTATAGACCGTTATTCTCCTTCTCTCTAAGCCATACATCATTTTTGTTGCCCTTCCCCTAGATTCTCTCTACTTTATCTACATCTTTTAGAGAAAAACAAACCCAGGTGCTTCAGGATGAAAACAGCACACCCAAAGCTAACAACCCCAAACCAATGAGGCCCCTCATTCAAAAGCCACCAGGAAATTCTTTGATGTGCTTCTTACTCCTTTTCTCCTGTAACTCATAATTCCATCTCCCAGATAAAAACTGAG